TTGACATTTGGAGACCAAGCTATTTGTGCATCACTAATAGCATTGTTATTTTGAGCCTACTGCACATATTTGTCTTTGTCTAAGATTTTTCAATTCTATAAATCTGGTCCCATTTATTTTCTCTAACTTGCCACTATCATACTTGATTAATATGACGATTGTATCCTAATCATCCTAGTTTTTTTTAAAAAAAAACACACACAATACAATGCGTTTAGGAATATGAGATGCTTCTTTATGCATGTATTTGTTGCATTTTAAAAAAGTTTAAAGGGAAAGGACCCTATAACAGGGAGGACGCAGTCCTGTATCAATTACTTAAGCAGACTTAACTAAAGTCCAAAACACACTGCAAAAATAGTCTAGTTTGAGACCTCTTTAACTGCCCTGGCTCAATGTTAGGAAATTCTAGGAACTGTAGTTTTATGATACATTTAGCATTCTTTTCAGAGATCTCTGGTGCCACAATAAACTACAGTTCCCACAATTTCATAGCACTGAGCCAGGGTAGTTAAAGCCCTGCAATGTGTTTTGGACCTATGTAATCTCTGCTGGTACCCTGAGACTGAACTGCGACTGAACTGATGCTGCATCCACACTGCAGAAATAATCCAGTTTGACACTACTTTAACTGTTATGGCTCAGTGCTATGGAATTCTGGGAATTGTAGTTTTGTGAGACATTTTACCTTTTATGATAGAGAGCTCTGGTGCCACAACAAACTACAGTTCCCAGAAATCCATAGTAATGAGCCATGGCAGTTAAAGTGATGTCAAACTGGATTATTTCTGCAGTGCTCATGCAATGTGAAAGATCAAGTCAGCTAGCAAACCATATATGGAGCATGGAGGGGGCACAAAAATGACAGCATCATTCCCCAAAAGTAGAATTCTGTCCCCCCCACCACAATCCACATTGACAGAGTCAACTCTGCAATCCACATTGACAGAGTGAACTCTAGTGCTAACCAACATATGTCAACAGATATGGAAAACAAAACAATAGCCAGCAGATTGGGAGCAATCAATATACATCCCCATCCACAAAAAGGGAGACACAAGAATTGCAGCAACTATAGAACCATAGCACTGATCTCCCATGCAAGCAAATTCATGCTCAAAATTCTGCAACATAGACCCCAACCATACATGGAGAGAGAAATCCCAGAGGTCCAAGCAGGATTCATGAAAGGAAGAAGCACTAGGGACCACATTGCAAAAATACAATGGCTAATGGAGAGCACCAGGGAATTCAAAAGGAAATCAGCATGTGCTTTATAGACTATAGCAAAGCATTTGACTGCATAGATCATGACAGGCTATGGAATGCCCTTAAAGACATGAGAGTGCCAACAAATCTGATAGTCCTAATGAGGAATTTGTACTCAGGACAAGAAGCTACTG